AGAGAACAACCAAAGTGTCATGAGTAAATGATATTCTAGTGGCAAAGTGCTAACAACTTGTCTTTTAAAGAAGCTCCATTAACCCTTTTTGCAAAATGGACTCCAGTTCCCTAAGCTGTAACCTGATCATGAAACTCTGTATCTTTCCCTCAACTCTGAATGATATCCTGCTGGATAGAATCTTCTTGTGAGGTGTTCATTTTATTAGGTTTTGCTTTTGTTTTTGTTTTTAAGTACATGCCACCATTCATTCTCTTCTGGCTTAGAGGCTCATTTGATAGATTTCTGTGAAATTTATGGGCTTTCCTTGTCTGTAAATTCCTTTTTAGATCTAGCTGCTATCAACATTCTGCCTCAGTCTTTGGCTTTTGTCATTATGATTATAATGTGTCTTGAGGTTTTGCTATTTGGGTCTATTTTTGCTGGGGCCTTTCTAGCTTTTTGGACCTCGGTGTCTGCACTTTTCAACTCTGGGAAATTCATTAACTAGTCCTGTTCTTCAGGGACTCCTTTGATTCTTATATTGTTCTTCTTTAATTTATCCCATAGTTCTCTAGACTTTTCTTAGAGGTTTCCTGCATCTTATTTTGAAGCTCCTCAATATTTACCTCAGCTGCTATTGTTTAGCTGGTCAGACATTCTATTGAGGTTTCTTTTTATACTTATCATCTATCATACTCTTTAGTTCTGTCACTTCTGATCGTAGTTTCCTCATTTCTAACTCAGACTTTCTTGTGCCTTGCTGATTCCTTATGGCATCATTTTTGAGCTAATTAAACCTCTTCAGCATGGTGTCACTAACATCATTCTCTGAATTTTGCAGAGCTGATTGGTAGTGGTAGAGCCTTCTATGATATTATTTCACTCGTTGAACTTGATTCGCTTCTATGCATCATCCCCGTGTGTATGCTATACTCCTGCTGTTCTGAGGGTGAATCTTTGTACTCTGAACCCTAGGGATTTCTAAGGTGGGTGTTGCTCTTTTCCTTCCCTATCTTAAGGCGGGAAAGGGGGGTAAAAATGTGAACAGTGTGAAGTGTAATAAGTAGGGTGTTTCAGATGCTGGATCTTCTGAGATGGCTATGGTCCAGCATGGAGGTTGTCAGAAACTGGTGAAAGGGAAGATAATCCATTTCTGATTCCAAAAAGGTCTAGGGAATGTCAGCCAAAAAGTTGATGTGAGGGGCTGGAGCAACAGCACAGAGGGTAGGACGTTTCCCTTGCACACAGGCGACCCAAGTTCAATTCCCAATATCCCATATGATCCCCTGAGCATTGTCAGGGGTAATTTCTGAGTGCAGAGCCAGGAGTAACCCCTGTGTATCCCTGGGTGTGACCCAAAAAGAAAAAAAAAACAGGTTTATGTGACCTGGAAGGAAGGGTGGAGGAGCAGAAGGTCTGAATTGTGGAGGTGGGCCTGCCAAGATGGCAGAGGTCCTCAGCGATATTCCTTCCATGGCCTGCTTTATGTCTGGTTTTTTCCCCTCCTGTGGTTCTTCATCAAATAACTTTTGCTTAGAACGGCTTTTCTCCCATTCTTCTCTAGCAATATATCACTCCAATTATTTTTAATAAAAAATTGAGTCAGGGAGATAGTTCAATTGACTGGAGTGCATACTTTGTATGCAGGGGCCCTGGGTTCAATCCCTACAATGACATGGTCCTACAGGGCCCCTGGTGGACCTGCTGATGGGCACGGTCCCTCATAGTTCTCTATGAGCACCACCAGGAGTAGCCCTAGAGCAGCAGCAACAACAACAACAGCGCAATTTTCCACGATTTCAAATAATCCACTGTCGTTTTTGTGCCTGTATCTCTCCACTAGAATTTAAGTGAGCATAAGTTTGCAGTCACATTCACCACTATATCCTCAGTGTTTAGAACTGTGCCCGGTACTGTTCTGATATGAATATTTGGAGTTCCCTCAAGTCACATTATAAAAAGTCACTATTTTATGTTCCAGAACTGATTTATTCTAAACACAATCTAATATTAGAAAAAGCAGCAGCCCACTATTTATTCCCCTGACTCTTCCCAGAATGTGGCAATCTGCATAAGAATCACTCCCCAGAATAAGAGAGCTTCTTTGAAAATTGAAGGGGAAAAAAAAAACACCTCAAACTCACTGGGAACTTGGGGCTGCTTTCGTTTTCATTATAAGTAAGACAAGGTTCATGAGAGTAAGCATCTGCTCTTGATTCTTTAGAAGTTGAAAATTAGATCAAATGAATTGGAGGACAACTACATCTTGTGTTAATGTTTTCCTCCTCGAATGAAGAAAATGAGATGATGTGAGCCATGACTCCATTTGAAAATGAAAGTTTGTATTTCTATTTGCTTCCCCGTTAAAGTACACTGTTTTTTCATTTCAGACTTTTCATGTTGGTAAATGTTGCAATACTTTACATTCATTACCATCGGGCCCATTTACTAAGTGCAAGCAAGACAAGCATAGATACATCATCTCCATGAAGCATCATCTCTAAATTACACAATAAATAAATGAGACTAAGCCAGAAACTATTTCCCAATCCTTACCTTAATGTAAAAGAAAAAAACCAAAAACAACAACAAAAAAATTAACCATCATGGGTGAAAGTTCCCTACTCTTAAAGGGTGATATTTATAATAATCTAGTATGCTTTATTGTGCCAAATAAACTGATCATCCACAAATATATTGAACGCTGACCCTAATTCATAAAGTCAAAAGTGGACAAGTCAGACTTTGCCTGTCTTATGCAAAGTATAATGCATTAAGAATCTTGCTGGGAACCTTCTGTTGATTTCTTATTAACTGATTACAGAAGTCAACAGCAAAGCCAAAATAAAGTAGTGATTCACAGGCAGATGACAGTTAGCAAATGTCCTTAAATTTATAATTGTCCTTGGGTCTATTTAATTTAGCTTTAAGTCATGAGGCATAATTGAGATAAAATGGTTACACTGAGAGGTATCAGATATGACAAGAAGCTGGCTGTGACTGTTTTGTTGTAACGCTTCCATTTGGGGACTTTTTCTGCCAACACATTTCCTATGATGGCTGTTAAATTTTATAGGATTTTTCCCACCATTAGTTGTAATGACATTTACATGTTAAATGCTTGCAACAAATGAAAACCATGATTCCATTGTTTCACACAGTGAAAACCATGGTTACAGCTATTCTGAATGAAGAACAAATCTAAAAAAGAATCAAGTAATTCCTCCTCCTCATATGATACCCACATGGGCTCAGTGGGAAAGCCTATTTACTTTGGAACTCTTCTATTTTTGAAGCAACATAGATTTTTGCACATGTAAGGAAACTAAAGATAACACTATAAGCCAATCAGGAAACAGCTTAAATGTGATTTTACTTGAAGAAAATTGTTCTCTTTCATGTAGCTAGAAATTAAGGATGGAAGACATTGTGGGTGTTGTTTTAGTGGGTTTGAAATGCCAAATTTTAGAAACAACATGGAAAGCAAGTATTAGCAGGTTTTTTTAACCAAATTCTTACCTGAAAAACTTCAAGGAGTGCTTCTGGGATGTTCTGCATTACTGTTCTTAGTCTTTAGTCTGATATTGTTTACTGAAATTTTGTAGGTTTATTCTGATTGGTTTTCCTGAATTATTTAAATAAATAACTATACAGAGACCCACCTAACAGATTGATGATTGCCAGAAGCAGAATTTAAATTTGGGGGGAAATGAGTGGATTGTAAAACATTAATAAATAAGAATCCTTCTAGTTATAAAGTAAGTCATGGAGCTATTTATAATGTACAGCATAGTGACCACAGATAATATTAAGATTCTTTAACTATGTATAAGGGATGTCAACTAACTATTGTGGTAATCATTTCATAAATATGCACAGATAATGAAACATTATGCTGTATATACCTAAAAGCAACAAAGGTACATGTCAGTTGTGGCTCAATTTAAAAAATAATAAATTAATCCATCTCAGTTCTGGGAACATCTAAGAAATTAAAGATTCTTGATAATTAGCATTTAATATTCAATTTGAATTGTCTGTTATAGATTTTAACTTTCTGATATTCTTTCTAAATATACTTAAGCCAATATTTTCTGACTCATAATAGAGTCATATAAGAGTGTGAATTCATCTGAAATTATATGTAATTTCCTATTAAAAGAACACCATTGGAAATTGTTCAAGTATATATTTGAGAATTGCTAACTTAAAAGTTATCTTGTCATCTTCTCTACTTTTTCTTATTCCCTCAGTTCTACCACCAAATATGCTGTAACCAATGCAGTGTTGTGTTTGGTGAAAAAGAAGATGAAATTTATTTTTTCATTCAGCATGTTTTCATTTGGATTCAATAATTCATTAAGCTTTTTTATTTGTTTACTAAACTACCTACTCTATCTCTTAAGGCAAAATTGACCAAAGACTTGTGGTTCATCACTCTTGTTTACCCAAATTTTTCCAAACTGGGCAATTGGAAAGATTCTCAGAAATCTGGTTTGGTTTAGTATTATGAAAAGAAACAATTTCGTGGTTGGCAGGCAATCGGAAAGCACAAACTGAGTTCTATTCAGTGATAAACATTAGTTTTGGTAATCATTAGTTTATCTTCAAATACACATAAATCCATGCATACAGCAAGTTGAATTTAGCAATCCAAAAGCAAAATACAATGGGCTATAAATGTTGGTGCATAACTAATTGTGCTGCTTTCGGCAAATTGCTTAACCTCTGAGATTAGATTTCTATACCTTTGAAATCAAAGCTCTATGATTTTATTGTCCTCAAAGAGAAATAGGTTAAACACCCAAGTCATAGTAATTTGCTTTATTCCAGCATACAATTCATAGTTCTGATATTTATTTCCCACCATTAAGCCTTTCCTAATGTTCTTCCTGAAAGTATTTTCTTCCAAAATACTTAGGAAAGCCTGGTACAACTTTGTTTATACAAGGTCAGTGAAACCTCTATATTTCATTTGTTTTTTTTAAAAAAAAGCTCTCTTTTTTATATGCTGGACACTCAAACTAAAAAGCAGTCCACCTAGTGTGTTCAGCAATTTAAATTTTGAAGCAATACTGAATCTTTTATTAATGTGAAGTTTCATACAATTTGTGTTTATCTTAAATAATGCTGTGAAAACACTAATACTATAGAAATAGAATCAACTTCACTGCTATTTTCATTTTTCTAATGAATACAGAGGGGAAGCTCAGTCTGAGAAGTAAAGGTCATAAGCTAGAATTATACCATGGCTATTTGTTACAAATTTTAAAACAGGTACAGTTTGTTTAAGGACACCAGGCAAGAATGTCAAATCTATTTAAGACATTTAAATGTATTACAATTTTTCCTACAATGAGTGGTTATCTGTCATTGAGTTCCTTGTGGGATTTCACACATTAATACAGTTGAGTTACAAATAGGTAGAGGTGGATGAAATCGCATGCTTTCTAGCCAAGGCATTACACAGAAAGTCATGGTGTTATATGACATTGACCAAGTTGCTGCTAAGTCCCCCAAATACAATGCTGGCATCAATACTGGTTCCAACATCAAATCCCCAGATATTGGTTCATTTTGTTCAAGGCATCACACACTGTGTTCAAATCACTGCGGAGGTCCTGCACCACATTTTCAATACTTCGAGTGTCTTTGAGAATTTCAACACTCTGTGTGTAGGGATTGAAATGCACCGAGAAGGGACGGGTAATTGATTTTGCAAAATCCCTGCAAAATAAACAGAAACAACGAATATGAGATCAACCACTACTGGTGTCAGACGTAGACAGAAACAGAGTCAGAAAAATGAAAAAACTTCCGTAGAAGGAAGAACAAATGTACCTCATCTTTTCTTTGGCTTCCTCAAAACTTTCTGAAACAAAGTAGGCTTCCTGGAAGGTGGTAATAAGGCATTCCTGTAAGCAAGTGGTCTTGGGGTCAAAGGCTTTCACACAGGCTTTGTCAGAAAGAGCATGCTGCAAAATATACCACAAATGTGTTACATTTTTTAGCAAGGGGCTAGGGACATGATGCCATGGGCTGGAGTGTATTCTTAGATGCGAAGGCCTGAGTTTGATCTCAGTACTACATCACACTGCCACACCCCACGCCCCTGCCAGCACTATTGGATTTGTCCTTCGTTGTCCATGGCACCACTGGGCCCTAGCAGCTTCACACGCCCAGACCTGAGCATTCAACTGTCTAGTCCAGCAGGTCCAGAATCCCTAGGAGTAGCTATGGGCCCACCTCACCCCCCTTCCTAGTCCCTCTCCCAACCCAAAACAAAAAGAATCAAAGTGCCAAGAGTCAAAAGAGCACATCTCTAAAGAATATCATTAATTCCACAGAACTTAGATCATAGCGTGCATGAAACATGGAACTCTCCCAACAAACATGGTAAATTGCATGTCAAGTCCAGGGAGTTATTTTTTTTCAGTCTATTATGTGCTGAGGGAGAAAATTAGGTTAAAGTATTATTTTATTTGTTATCATCCAAATTCATATGGAAAGATAGCTCAGTGCTGTATCCTAACAGAAATGGAATTTTAAATCTATGCTATGAATAGGAGAAGGAAAAACATAAATATGGACCTAAATTTGTTGCTATAAGCAGTGTGCTGAAATTTCATTTAAATGGCAGAAGTAATAATTACCTGCGTGGAGAAGTAATTGAGACTCTGACTGAACTATTTGTGGACTCATTGCGAGACATTTTGAGGCCAAGTAGTGTATATCAACAGAGTCTGGAGTGGGCCTGTTTACTTAATAATGCTTGCAAAGCATTCATTTACCTTCTACCAAGTTCCTCAAAGCAAAACACAGCACAAAATATTGCCAGGTCGGGGCAGAGGAGATAGGGATAAAAGGGCTAATATTAATAGTTATAGTTATGCCAAGATGGGCACTAGAAAAATCAGAAAGTCAATGTAACTGCACTCTGAGCATCCTTCGTCCCACTCAGCTCACTGTGTGGCTGCACTTAGAGAAAAGGGAAAAATGAGCGGTCATGTTCCATAAAGTCCAGGATGCTAAAAGTCAGTACTTACTTCCTATCTCATGCTCACTGCCACTTTATAGACCCTGGTGAGCTCACTCTTAAACACATGTGTCCTTCAGATCACTATGAAACTTGTGGGTCTCCGGGTCTCGAGCTTGCTTGTTATGTGTGAACAAATCACAAAAGGCATCCAAAATGACTCAGACATAAATGATTATGAATTATATTTTAAGAAGTACTCCTCTGCATTTCATCTCTTTCTTTAAAAGGATCTTATCCTTAAATTAAGGGTAAATTAATTAGCAGAGAGTGCTAGAGAGAGAGTGAGGTTGGAAAGGAAAAAACCTTGAACTAAGTTAGAAAACTTGGTCTCTTGTTCACTTACTGGTGCTGCTGGCTAATTGGTTGACCCTTGCAAAATATTTCACCTCTCAGTGCCTTCACTTACTAAACTATAGATGAGAAGTTTAGAGGGCACATTTCTAAAGATAATCTCTATTCCAATCTCTGGATTTCTAAGCGCTTTTCTATCTCCTCTATCTCTAACCGCTAAGATTTCCTAGAGGAATGCTGAAGATCTTTCATGTTCAGTATTCTTCGTGCATTCCCCCGCAACAATTTCAAAATGCATGAAATGATTTGCAGCCTTCCATGAAGAAGGCCGTAGTTCCCTACATTTGAAAATATAATTGAGAACCAAAGACTGACGTGCAAGAAAAAGAAAACTACCCCGCATGTGATTTGCTTTCTCACAAAGTCGCATGTCCAGATTAATGCATACATGAATCAGGAACACGGAGAGCGAGTCTAGCAGAGCTAACACATTCTGGTTTGGGCCCCACAAAATAACTTCATTATAAGAAGGTCACTACACCCGCAAATTTGTTCTAAATTCAATATGGTGTAATAAACATCAGGAGATTTTAGTTCCACGTGACTAGTAATTCTGTCCACATTTTAAAAGTTTTTTAAAACCTTCCATTTTGAGAAATAAAAAGCGCTTTCATGAGATATTTCGCTCATCTGCGAAGAAAAGAGCTCCTGATGGCTTAACCATGACTTTGAAAAATACTTGTTTTCTTTGCAGCTATGTGCTGTGGGTCCGTTTAACTGCATGCGTTGTTCCATTCATCTCTCAGTACATATGACAGGAAAGACAGTGACTTAGTGACTAACTCTGTATCCCTTATCTTTCTATTCTCACAGTGCTACGGTGAAGACCAGGCAGACAGTGGCAGCAGAACATTTGAGCAACAACTCCTCAAGGGCATCCCTGCTGAGTCAAGTGTCCTTGTCCCTACTGGCCAAGGACAAGTACAAGAAGGCAGTACAACATCCCTGCTTGGGTTCACAGTGCTGTGAAAGAACATTAGCAACAGCAACTTGAGAGGTCTCTGTGTAGGTAATGTGGATGTGGGAATAAAAACTGAGAGCCGTTTTGTTAGAGAAAAATTCATCATGTGATCATTCCACTGGATATTCAGATACACTCTTTCAGTCAATACAACTGATACATGAGATTTAAAAGACCAAGTAAAATCCCAGGAAGTAGGTATAGTGCTCAATACTTCAACAAAAGTTAATGAATTCTGGTACCAGAGAGATAGAACTGTAGGCAGGGCACTTGTCTTGCACATGGCCAAAGTTTGATCTCTGGCACCCCATATGTCCCCTGAGCACCTTAAGAAGTGATCTTCGGGGCCATGAATAAGCCCTGAGCATAGACAAAAAGATCAAAATCCAATATAGTCTTTTTATATACATATATGTGCATATATATGCAAATATATACACTTATATACATAGAGATTGAAATAGCCATAAATATCACTTACCTGATTTAATGGTCAAAGGGAAGATTGAAAACTGATTGTTTTTAACTCTGAAAAATGCAGTATATTCTCAGGAACCTGCTCTGTCCCACTATTCTAGGAGTTTTATTGGCTTGGTTTGGTTGTGGGGGTTTGAAAGAGGGGGTTGTTTGCTTTTGTTGGTGTGTTTTGTGATGCTGGGAATTTAACCAAGGCCTTATATATGGAAGGCAAGTGTTTTACTGCTGAACCACATCCTTCAACCCAATAATTTCTTAATTGTGAGAAACCTCTCCTGCATGGAGAAAAACAGTGCATCCTCTTGGGTACTGTCAATATGGGGGTAGTAGTGGCCAGAGACTGTAGCACTACACTATCCTCTCGTTGTTCATCGATTTACTTGAGCAGGCACCAGTAACGTCTCACTTTGTTGTGAGACTTGTTGTTACTGTTTTTAGCATATCCAATACATCACGGGTAGCTTGCCAGGCTTTGCTGTGTGGCTATGCTTTGCTTTTGCTTTTCAGTAGCTTGCTGGGTTCTCCAGGAGGGGCGGAGGAATCGAACCCAGGTTGGCTGTGTGCAAGGCCTTACCACTGTGCTAGACTAGAGAACAGGAACCTGGATTTGAGGGAGTAGAAGTCAGTGTAACCAACAAATGGAGTGATGATCACATCTATAGTCTATGATATAGATCCTGTGTGATGGCTCCTACAAGGTCTTCTGTTTATGAATACTCAAAATACTCAAAAATGTCTGTTTTGGATTTGCCCATTGTGCCAACAATAGAACTTAAGACTAGGAGACAGGCAATCTAGGTTCTAAACATACCGATTGTGATGGCGTGTTACCAATGAACGAAACTCATCTAGGTTGAGAAACAATCTCATTGACAAACCACAAAGATTAATTAAGATGAGTGCTAAAGCTTATTGCAATAAAATTTTTAATACAGTCTACGAATACACAGCAGTCCATACCATTCTCCCTTCTCCACTCACCCAGCATAAATTGACCATAGTAGCCTTTCCCATTGTCTGAGGATGACCTTACCACCCTTCTCAAGGGGAATAAGCGACATTATCAAGTCGCTGGCTTTGATCTGTAAATTGACTCATTTGCCGTTTCAGTCTTTAAATACAAAATCTCTTTACCACACCAACTTTTTTTCCAGAATCCAGTTGTTAAATTGTTAGTAAAAAATATTATGAGGTGCCTAAGATTATTGGCTAGTAACTGAATGTAAGGAAATTGAAATTCAGATCCATTCTTTCCTGCATTCTTTCATCATTTCAGACAAGTTACTTCACTTCTCTCACTTACACTGAATAAGCCTATTTCAGAATTTGTCTGAAAACTGGAAATATTAATATAAAATTCTATTTCCAGAGTGATAGAGATTAAACAAGGCAATACATAAGAAGTGGAGAGCCCATGGGAAATGCTCAATAGATTTAGCTAACAACCATCATTCAGTCTCAAGATGGTGCTTGAAAGACATGTGAATGTGCCGTACCATAAACTAGTGAGGCAGTGCTCTTCTCCAGAGGTCTGGAACCCTTTTTTTTTTTTTTGGTGGTGGGAGGAGCACAATTGGCAATACTCAGGGGTAATCTACTCCTGGCTCTACACTTAGAAACTTCTCCTAGCAGGGCTCAGGAGACCATATGGGATCCCAGAGTTTGAACACAGATTGACCACATGAAAGGCAAGTGCCTTACCACTGTACTATCTCTCCAATCTCTGGAATCCCTTTTTTTTTAATTGCTAGTTTGTTGCCTCATGGATTTTTTTAATACTTTATTCAAATACCACGGTTCACAAAGTTGTTCATAACATGATTGTTATGGGCTTTGATGTTCAACACCAATCCCATCACCAGAGTGACCTTCCCGCCAGCACTGTCCGCATTTTCCCAATCACCCCCAAAGCCTGTTCCCTTAGGACTCACATAATATTTATTTTATACAGCTTGTTAAAATTCATGGACAAATCAGTCTCCCAGCTGAAAACTCTGGGGCGCCCCCAGGAGTGGGAAGGGCCAGGGACCCACTCTGTCAAAGGTCTGGCAGCCACACTCGCACCCCAATGCCACCTCCATGTCAGAGACCCAACTCCACTCCTTCACTATTAATCTCCACAGAGAGACACAAAGAAAACTCCAGGT